GGGCGCTGCTGTGCATCGTGGCTGTGGCCGGTGTCTCTGGCGTGTCTAATCTCTGTCTCCAATGACAGAGGGGATAAAGAGTTGCCCCTGTGCCCAGGCCACCTACTTGGGTGGTGCAGGGGAGCATTTGCATAACTTGGGCAGTGCCACAGAAGAGCCCGCCTCAGCGTACCCCACTAGCAAACAGCCCTATTGGCAAACCCAGAATCTAGGTCAAGGAGGTTGGGTCTGAGAGCCCATCTGGCTCCCTGCTTGCGGGAAGAGCCACAATACTGTGCAAGAGAGTGTAGGTCAAACACCACAGTCTCCACGGTTGGTGAGAAGAACAGCAATTACACACCCGGGAGCACAGTGGAAAGATTCCCGGCCTCAGGAGGCCCCTGGAAAACAGGATTCTAGTCCCAGCTCTGCATCCAACTTGCCAAACCACCAGGAGCCAGTGTTTCCTGCCCACTCCGGGCCTTCGTTTCCTGGGTGATGGTGGAGCCCCTCCCACATCTGATGGTCCATGTTTTTTGCCTTCTCCTGCCCCCACTGAAGCTGGCCAGGACAGCTCTCCTGCAGAGGCTGGGCAAGGGGGGCCAGTGGGGTTCGTTTCCCACGGAAGGAGCTGGGTTGGGAAGCTCCCCCCCTGGGGCTATCTCAGACGGCCTGGCGCTCGTCCAGAGGCAAAGGAGAGCATGACGCCAGCCTGTGCCCGGGGACTGGCTTTCCCGGCTGCCCCAAGGAGCTTGTGTCTTACAGTTATTAATAAGCTGGAAGCCACCCCGGGGCATTGGGCTTGATAAATAGATGAACCAAGTGAAGCTTGGTGGAAACCAAACACTTCTGCAGGCAGTCCCAAGGTTTTGTCCTGCTCTCTGGCCCAGGCTGCCCTGAGGCTGCACCCTGAGGCTGGCATGCTGCAGTAGGAGTCAGGCAAATTTGAAGGATAGAAAACACACTCCTGGCTTACATTTCAGACCCCTGAATCTAATCTATTACGGTCAGCCACAGCAGGCCCCTGGTCAATTGGACCAGCGCTACTTTTTCTGTTCCTCCACGTGCACAAACTCATCCAGGATGGCCCGGGGTGGTGAAAATAAGAGAAGCTTCTAAGCAGGCGGTCCCAGCCCATCTTACATAGAGATTCATCACGAAGTCGGGACCCCTCCGTTCCTTTTCCACCAAACTCTTACTTTTGTTCTTAAAGATCTCTCAGCGTGAGCTCCGAGGCACTGGGCGAGCGCTCCCTACATACCCTCCACATACAGGTACTGACCGCCCTGGAATCTGACCACCCATCCAATCGCATCGCTTCTGTCCCTCCTCCACATCCCCGCTGCCACTGCCCGAAGGCTGGGACCTCACAGTGTCCCCTCTGGGTGGCCACAGCAGCCTGCATGTTCTGCCTTCCAGTCCACTTCCACCGGTCGTTGATCTAGAAGAGAGATGGGTGCCCCTACTTTACGGAGGTGCTGCCATGGCTCCCCATTGCCTCCCACCTGGAGTCTGCCCGTAGCCCGGAGCCCCGGCCTCCCCTGCCTCATGTTTGGCCTGTCCCCCTCCTCGCACCCCTGCTCCGGCCCTGCTCATCCACGTGCAGCATTCTGGGGGTGTTGCTCTCTCCAGTCACCTCTGGGCCTTGTTCCTGCCTCTTATCCTTGGAGGTCCATCTTTCACTTACTGGTCTGGCTAAGTCCTTCTTCAGGACTCAGCTTACATGCCCCTCCCACCCTGCTGGCTTTTCTGAGCTCACTGAGCTCTTCATCCATTTCCCCCGAAGTTTTCAGGGGGCGGAAGCTCCCTCACTGAATGAAAAGGCCACTGCTGTCCGCTTGCGTGTTGATGTCATCGGTGACTTTTATTCGTACATAGAAATATTTCCCATCACAGATGTGTGACGATGTCCCGCTCCCTCCCAACCCACCTGCAGGTGGAATCCACTAGTTTTCATGAACGCTGAGTACTTTCTAAAGCCCTGTGAAACCTCTAGGGCCCAAGGGACCAAAGTGACCCCTGGCTTGTAAGCTGGACAGGACTACTTAGAGCTTGGGAGGTGAAATGAAAGAGGGCAATTAGGAAACAAACAGCCACTGAGCATTTTTCTCTTAAGAAGCCCAGTATCCCTCTAGGTTTGGGGTTCACATGCTGAAGGGATCCTGAGAAACCAGCTCACACACCATCCTAGTAGCTCCTCCTACTGTCCGCCTACTGACCTGTTATGTTGACATGTATTTCACTAACTCTCCCAAATATCCCTCCACCCGCCACTGCAAGTTAGGTAACAGAGGTGCAGACAGGTAAGAGACTCTGCGGCCATCGCCCTGCTTCAAGCTGCCATCTCCTGTCACCGATACCCCGATGTTTTCCCAGCCAGCCTCGAGGCTGCCCCTTCTAGGCCATCGTCCATGAGCTGCCCAGTAATTTTGTAAAAGTGTAAACCTGACCACACCTCTCCCCTGCTTCTCAATGACCTTAGGAGAAAGGGTGAAATCCTTAACTGGACCTCAAGGCCCTGCCCGCCTGGCCCCTGCGTGTTCTCTAGGCTTGGCCCTGCCCTTCCAGCCCTTGCTCACCACACTTCCGCCACACTGGCTTCTCAGCTTCATTGCACTTTCTCAGGGAGGCCTCCCTGACAGCTCTGTCCCCCCCTAGAATCTTGGTTAGTTCCTCCTAGTATCCCTCTCTTAGCACCCATACTTTCCCTGAGAACGTCACTTTGCACAGCCGTCATTCTATATTTATTTGTATTTGTCAGATCTCCCATTAGCACACAAGCTCCGGGACGGCGGAGTCTGTGTGTCTGGCTTAATGGTCGTTCTGTGCCCAGGGCCAAATACAGTGCTGAGTTGAAGGCATGTTTCCTAGATGGCAAGTGCCTGAGCTGGAGGCAGATTTCAAAGCCCACCCCTCTGCTTGCCCGCAAGCTTCATAGCGTACCTCCGCTGTCCACCATTCCCATTTCAATCCCACAGGCCCTTGGCACTCAGAGGTGCTAGCCCCCTGGGACTGTGGTTCTGGGAGCCAGGGAAGAGCCCAGGTGGGGGTGCTGCTCTGACCCTGTGGGTTGCCAGCAGCCACCTTTGCCTCCCTCTGGCTCAGTGTCATCCCAGGGGCCTCTGGACCCCAGGGGGGTGGGGGGGGCGGGGATGGCATTTTATTTTATTTCTAATAAAGGGCAAGGGGTTCCTTCTACAGAATCCTGCCCTGGGGCCCACTGTACCCAGCTGCCACCCAGAGGGAGTGTGGGACAGTGATTTCCTCATAGCCCACTGGGCTGTCATGGCTGCAAGTTGAAGCATCATCAGTGAAGCGGCACACTTATCAAGCCGGCTGAGCAGAACCGGTCCAAGAGAAGGCGCACGCTGTCCCCAGGTACGTGGACAAGAGGGACCTAACTGTGCTGTGGACACTGGGTCTGGCCCCTGCTTCTGCCACTTTCTGACCCTGCGCCCAGGCCCTGTCACCCACATTCCACATTCCACATTCCACCTCCACGGTGGTGGTTTTCCCAGCAGCCTCCGGTTCTCCGATGAGGCATCGGTGTTTTGTTTTGTTCCCCTTGGGAGAAACTAAGCAGTAGGTTCCGCGTGAGGCTGGTGAAACGGGAGGTGAAGGTCATGGCCGTAAGGACAGGCAGCGATGGGTGTTGAATTCACAGCGCTCACGCTGCCTCTTGCCCAGCGATGTCTGTGGGGCCCCCCTCTCCTCTCCCACACCCATTCCTCAAGCGCCATCCTGGCACAGTGGTGCTCTCTGTACCCGCAGTGAAAGGTCTGCAGACCCCAGCAGGTGGCCCACCTTTACCAGCACAAGCCAAAAGCCAAAATTCTACTGCAGCAAAAGAATATGCTCCCCTGGAGAACATTGGAGCTTACCGGTAATCCCAGCAGCTCACGAGGGGTCCATTAGTGTGCCCAGACTAATTCACCAGGGAGCTGTGACTTTCCCCTGGGACATTTCACTGGGAGAGGTTTTTCTCTCAAAGTCAGGGTTTCTCCACCTTGACCCTACTGACATTCAGGCCAGATCATTTGTGGTGCAGGCCCGTCCTGTGCACTGTAGGATATTGAGCATTATCCCTGGCCTCTACCCACTGGATGCCAGTAGCACCCTCCAGCAAGTTTTGTTCATCCCACATGTGCCCAGACATTGCCAAGTGTCCCGTCAGGGACAAAGTCACCCCTGTTGAAACCACTGCTCTACGGGCAGCTCTGGGGCTCCTGTGTCCTTGTACAGTGAGGCACCCATCACAGGAAACTGTATCAAGAGGGACCCATGACTTGTGGACACCCTCTGCCTGGAAGCCTCTTCCTGGGAGACCTGAGACTGGAGTGTGGAGGGCGTCTGCACCACGGCCGGGACCGTGGGCTGACCGTCAGCACTTCCACTAGCTCCCATGGAAGATGATGATAGCACTCCTTCTGGGGCTGCTTTGAATGAAGATCAAGTGCCCAATAAATGTGACCGTGATGATTATTTTATCAAGGTCTAGCCACAATGGACACTCAAATTTTTGGGGGGATGGGGTGGGCACAAGAGAAAGCTTGGCCCTGGGTCCCTCCCCAATAAGCTTCTTAACACAAGCATTTTTAAAAGGGCATTTTGGGTCCCTGTTAGGAACACCTGACACCCACAGAATGAATGGTGGTTGGGACTTCTGGTGCAAAGATGGCTCTGAGGTGCCTTCTTGCCTATGGCATTTCTGGCAATGGTCACCAAATGCTGTTGTGTCATCATTTCACGCCAGCCCATGGGGGCCCCCTCGAGCCCCACCAAGCACCTGGCCTACAGATGACTGACATTCAAGGTTGGGAGTGAACTGCCTGGCCTCCTGCCCTGCTCCGCCCCTCACCCACCCTGTGGCCTGGGCAAGCCCCGCCACCTCTCCCGGAACCCCTTCCTTCCTCTGCAGGGTAAGGATAATCAGAGTACAAACCTTCCAGGAACTTTTAAAAGAAATGACATGAGATAACATGAAAAGTTCTCAGTGCAGCATGCATAATAAGCACTAATGGTTAGCTTTGTTATTAATTTAATTTTACAAGAATTAACACAACAGAAAGCTTGCAGAGCATGAGAATAACCAAGCTCAATTCACTGATTTACTCTGACGCTCTTGGAGGTAAAATGGCTGGGGAGTTGCTTAGAGAGGACAGACTTTCTGTTCCCAGGGTTGTATGTGGACGGGGAGGGACAGGAAGGGAGAAGGACAGCCCTCACCCCCGGCTCTGCCCGAGGCCCCACCTTGGCTGTGGCGAGCCCCGTGGGGCTCCGCAAGCTTGTGAAGGAAAATGAAGGCAGGAAATCCTTTGAGAAGCTGAATCGAAGGAACACGCAGGGCCAGGCTGAAAGGCTGTGTGGGACCTGAGGTGGAGACGCCCCGGGGGGCTGTGACAGGGGCACCCATCTCAGGGATGACACCCCTGCTCCCTCCCTCCCTCCAAGCAGCCACTAGGGTCTGGGCTCAGTGAGTTCGTGGGGGCCAGTGATCTGTGGGTCGTGGGCGCTGGGTCAGGGCCCCTTTGCTCCGCCTGCCCGCACCCCAGTGACACTTTAAGGGAGGAGTTCAGCCCCCCACTTGTAAAACCAGGGCAGTGCCAAGAGGCGGGAGGTAGAGGCCCATGTCCTAGGGGGCTGTAGGCAAGGCTGACCTTCTAGGTTGGAGTCTCTTCCGAGGCCTCCTCTTCCACCTCGTCCTCTCCCTCCATCTCCTCATCCGCTTCTGTCTTTGGTCGTTTCTGCCAAGGAAAGACAGCACTGAGTTGTTGGTGGGGGCAGGCCTCCCCTGCGCCCTGGGAGGTTAACCCTCTCTGGGTGCCAGTGCCAAGGCCACCAGGGCCTGGTAGGTGTGGACGGCGGGCATCCAGACACGTCCAACAGACTCGGGGACAAGTCCTGTTTCTGCCACTTGCTGCCTGGTGACCTCGGCTAGCTCCTCTTGGGTCTGCTTGGTCCCCTCACCTGTAAAGTAGACTCAATTGCTCAAGGGTCTGTGACTGGGATTAGAAATAATGAGTGTAAGGACACAGCAGTGCTTTCCAAGTTCTGACCCCAGAATTTCTAGCCAAGTGCAGAGACTGAGAGAGAGGCAGGAAGTGTGTGTGTGTTGGGGGTTGGGGGTGGGGGGGCGGGAGAGGGAGGGGGCCAAGTTCTGTGAACCTGAACCCCTCCTGAGGCCCAGCTTCCTCATCTAGTGCGCTCAAGCTGCTGTGAAGAGCACCTGTTGGGACCTTCAGCACAAACAACGGTGTCTGAGAGCTGCCTTTCTGTGGAAGGCGGCCAATGTTGGCATCCATCGCCTTCCGGAAGGCTGGAGGGCCCAGGGGTGGTGGGTGGGGGAGTCCGGGGCTATGGGCCCAGTCTCGCTTCTGTCATAAACGAAGGGCGTGCCCTGCCCCACCTGGGCCACGCAGGAGTGTGAGAATACAGCCACTCATATCCAAAGACTTGCAAATGCAAACTGTGCCCGTGAAATCACAGCCTGTCACGAGGCTCAGTGAGAGGGAGGCAGAAGAGGAATGCAGTCAGAGATGGAGCCAGCTATCCTCTGTGTGCTCACCCATCCTCCGTCACCCTGGCCTCTCCATTGGAGTCCAGGATTTGCCGCACAGCTTTCGCAAGCAGGGCCAGTTTCCTGAGCAGGCGCCCCGTATGGTCGCACACGGCCTGCACTTACAAGAGCCTCACATGCTTTCGTGTTCTGCTGTCACTGTCTTGAAATTCTCAAGACTTTCTGAACAAGGGGCCCCCCACATTCATTTTGCACTGGGCCACGCCCCCAAATAACACAGCTGGCCTTGCTCACAAGGGTAGGCACGGGCACATGCTCGCTCGTTCTTTTCCTCTCCACGCTGCTCTTTCACCCTTCCCCACCGTGGCACCTTATCTGTGGGTCCCAAAAGGCAGTGACCCAGACTGACAATGTCTTTTTCTTTCTCTGTCCCCCGATGCAGCAAAGGGCCTGGAAGGTGACCACTCACCATCTTTATGGCTAATCTCATTTTCTGGATGAAAATCAAGGAACCAAGAAGTGAAGTGACCAGCCCATGTTACAGCTAGGTGGTACCATGCACACATGAGCTCAGCACAGACCCCACCCCCCACCACCAGGCGGGGTAAGCAGAACACCCTCCACGTCACGATGTCATAGCCCCCTCCTCCAGGGGCCTCAAGGCTCACTCTTACCTGACACCTCACTTAGCCCCCCTCTCATTCAGTGGGTCACATGCATGTTTAAGGCGTCTACCATGGTAGGGAGAGGAGGACTCCGTGAAGCAGGGAGCACAGTTCCTCCCCGCAAGGAGCCTGAGGTCCATTTGGAGACTCCGGATTCCTCGGAAGGAAGGGAGTAATTCCTCCCATTTGCCAGACGGACACATTTAGGCCCACCGGGTAAGGCTACTTGCGCAAGGTCACCCAGGAGGTCAGCAAACAGGCAGAACCCAGGTGCGATGGCTCCCATCCCGCCCACCGGGGCCCCGCTCGAGGCCCCTACAGGCTTGGACTTCATGGCTGCCACTTCCTTCTTCTTCAGCTCCGTGAAGATGATGTTGAAGAACTCCTCCTCGGCCTTGCTGACCAGCTCCTCCAGGTTCACGGAGGACGCCTCCTCTCTCAGCTCGTCGTCCTTGCCCTCCGTTTTGCTTTTCTCCTTCAGCCGCATCTCTCGGTGCCTTGCCTCCAGGATCTTCTCCCGCCGGGTCTCACGCTCAAATATCTGGGGCACACAGGGGCAGAGAGGCCCGTGGGAAGAGGGCCGGGGCTCCCAGCCCAGGGCCCAAACTGGGTTCTGCTCTCTCTACTCAAAGCAGCCCCCAAACAGGTCTGTACTCAGGGATAACGGCAAGAAAGGAGGGCTAAACATTGGGGTCAGGAGGTGGGAGCAGGGATGACAAGTGACTCGGTTCCAAGGAGTTCCAAGAACATTAGACAACAGCCTGAAGAACGCAACATGGCGGCCCTGGGCCCAGGAAGGACCAGTCAATGGTGGGACCACAGCGTCAGACAGAGTCAGGAGGGTCTCCCAGGTCTCAGCACCTGGGGTTTTCAGTTCCACACTGTGCCCCACGGTTCTGGGGAGGTGCCTCCACGGCTACCCACTGGGGTGAGGTGTAGTGAGAGACCTTAGCCGCCCAGCTCCCCAGCTCCCCTTCCCCAGGACAATCCCCTTTTATCTGTCTCCTCTATGGGCAGTCTCCTTAGCCTTCGTCTGACGGGCTCTGCTGCCAAAAAATGCATTGTTTGACACTGGACAAACTGACCGAGTCAAACCACTTTGAGTGACAGCTGAAAAACTGAAGTCTGGAGAGGTAAAGTGACTTGCCCAGGGCCACTTAGCTACTTAGTGGTTAAGCCAGGGAGGATTCAGACACCTCCAAGACCCATTTACCGGCTCATTTGAGGACACCATGCTCAATATCCACCCGTTTCCCAGGAGGTGAGAGGGAGGGGCCGTGTGTTTGGCTGGCTGGCCTGCTCTGCCAGGGGCCAGGTCAAGACATGAACTGGAGTGTGCCTTGTCCCTGGCACTGGGCACTTACGGAAGAGGCTGCGTTCTTCTCATTCCTCTGGGGGGTGCACAGCCCATTCGATACCTCCAACAGTGTGGTGGTCCCCAGCTGGGAGCCACAGGCGATTAAACACCCATTGTCTTGCACCCGGAGGCAGAAGAGGGCCTCGTCACACACCTGGTGGGAGAGGAGAGAGGAGCAAAGTAACCCCTCGTTTGTCTGATTATCTGGTCCCTGGGGAGGCTTAGCCAAGTGGCCCCATTCCAACACTCATGGTGAGTCCCCCTGACCCTCAGGATGAAAGTCACACTCTGAGATTGGCTGTCAAGACCCTTGTCCCCGGCTTCATCTCCCGCCTTACCCCACCCCACCCTTTCAGTCAAGCCTCATATTCATCCTGTAGGTTCCCAAACCCTATGCCCATCCCTGGCCCCTGCCAGTGGGTCTCGGCTCTGGCTGTGTTAATATGATAACATTAGCCCAGAGAAGAGTCAGCTGCCAGGGGCCCACGCCCAGGGCTTCTGAAGAAATAGGCCTAGCGGGAGGGGAGGCTAGGCATCTGCTTTTTTCCCTTTTAAAATTTCCCCCAGGTGAGTCTGCTGGGCCACCGGGGCCTGAGGACCTAGATGCATGGCAGGGGAGTGTACATGACCTTTAGGCTGAGGGCGGGGTCACTCTGCTTGAACACAAAGTCCCAGATATCCAGGGTCCCGTCCATCTTGGTGGTGAAGAAAACTGCCGGCCTCACTGGGCTCCAGGCGCCGTCAGTGAGGTAAGCCATGTGGTACCTGTGGGGAGCAGGGTGCCACCAGTCAGGGACCGCTGTGGCTGGGAGGGACAGAGGCTGCCGAGTCTCTGCTCTGCTCACCCAGCCCCTCCTGGGCTCCAGGGCTCATTGCTGATCAGGAAGTTCTTCCTTGTGACTTTTCGCCATGCCAACCTCACCCACCCGCAGCTCATGGGCTGCGCTTTAAAGGGCTGTGGGTTGGTCCTTCCCGTGGGCCGGCCACTGGCTTTTCTCCCCAGCTAACTCCCGGGAACAGGCACGTGTTCTGGATCCGGGGCCAGTGCCCCAGCCGTGGGACTCATTGAAAGGAGCTACAGGGAGGTTATGCCCAGAAAAGTTCATAATATTGAGATTAGGAGAGTGTTATACTTCCTACTTGGTTTAATCTAGATTTTCAAAGGTTTCTGCAGTGAAGAATGAAACTTATCTTACACCATATACAAGGGTCAACTCAAAATGGATTAAAGGCTTAAATGTATGACCTAAAACCATAAAACTCCTAGAAGAGGAGAACATAGGGGAAAAGCTCCTTGAGATTGGTCTTGGCAATGAGTTTTTGGATATGACAAGAAAGGCAAAAATAAACAAGTGGGACTACAACAAACAAAATGCTTCTCTGCACAGCCAAGGAAACGATCAACAAAATGAAAAGACAACCTATGGAATGGGAGAAAATATTTGTAAACAAAATATCTGATAAGGGGTTAATCAAAATATATAAGGAACTCATACAACCCAATGGCAAAAAAACAAAAATGAAAACAAAACAAAACAAAACAAAAACCCCAAAGAACTCAATTTAAAAATGAGCAAATGACTTGAATAGCCATTTCTCCAAAAAAGACATACAGATGGCCACCAGGTACATGAAAAGATTCTCAACACCACTAATCATCAGGGAAATGCAAATCAGAACCACAATGAGATAGTACCTCGCCTGTTATAATGGCTATTATTAGTAAAGCAAAAGATAACAAGTGTTGGTGAGGCTGTGGAGAAAAGGGGACCCTCAGGCACTGTTGGTGGGCGTGTAAATTGATGCAGCGACGATGGACACCAATATGGCGGTTCCTCAAAAAAATGTGTCCACTAGGCATTTTGCCATAAAGATCCTGGATGCCTGTTTACAAATAAAGTACATGATTGATTGAATAATGTAAAACAGGAGTCTAGAAGAGCCCTCCCCCTCCAGCTACTCCCTGCAAAACTGGGCTACGCTGCACACCCGTGTTCATAGCAGCATTATTCACCACAGCCAAGAGGTGAAAGCAACCCAAGTGTTCCTCAGCGTCTGAATGGATAAACAAAAGGTAGTCACCAGCTGGGGGACCGGGAGCAAGTGGCTTTGCCTCTGTGTAGCTCGGGGTCCCTCAAACAAACAATGAGGTGACAGGAGGGTGATGCTGCCTATTCTTCGGGTTGTCTGCAGGGTCGTGAGTATTAACCCCTGGCTGTTGTTGTTACTAGCCCCAGGGGTCTGAAGTGCATTCCTTTGTAAACTGGGTGAATCAGGCCACTTCCTAGCATAAGCTCAGGTGTTTGCAGAGGTGCTGTTTTCTCCATTTTACGGGTGGACACACGAAGGCTCAGGTCACTGTCTCCTCCACCCTCTTGCATCCCTCTCCCGCCCCCAACCTCCCCCCTTACTTGGTCCACATGATGGACGACTCCCGGCTTTCCTCTGACCAGATGCGGGCAGTCCAGTCGCCGACGGTCAGGAAGTTTTTCGGGTAGAATGGGTTTCTCTGGAGGGCGTAGATGGGGCCGTGGTGGCCAGGGAAGGTGCACACAATCTTCTCGGCCGACGTCTTGGCCTTGCGGTTGCAGGAGATGACGACGCCTTGCTCGGTGCCCACCATGAACTTGGTTGGCTGTGGAGAGCGGGTGACACAGGAGCAGACGTGTCCATGAAACGTCAGCTCGGGGCTTAGCTGGCACAGCGAGCAGCATTCCGCGGTGGGCCTTCGGTTTAAGCCTCTGCTCAGGCTGCGTCCCACCAGCTCCTGGAGAGCTGCCCTCCTCTTCCCAGCCTTGTCAGATCCCAGCCTTTTTTAGAGTCTGCTCCATGTTTAACGAAGCCCCCTCCCCCAACTCTTCTAGTCTCTGGAGAGTCTCATCCTCAGCCCTCCTCATGTGGCACCACTGCATCCACTTCGTGGTTTGCCATAAAGATCCTGAATGTCTGTTTACAGATAAAGGAAATGACTGACTGAATCATGTAAACCGTGAGTCTAGAAGAGCCCCCGCTTCCAGCTACTCCCTACAAAATTGGGCTACGCTGTACACCCGTGTTCGTAGCAGCATTATTCGCCACAGCTAAGAGGTGAAAGCAACCCAAATGTCCATCGACATATGAATGAATAAACAAAATGTGGCCTATCCATACAATGGAGTATTATTCAGCCTGAAAAAGGAAGGACATTCTGACTCGAGCAACAATGTGGATGAGGAGAGTGTGCTAAGTGAAATAAGCCAGCCACAAAAAGACAAATCCTGTTAAGAGTCCACTTCAATGAGGTGCCTGGAGGAGTCAAATTCACAGAGACAGGAAGTCGAAGGGGCCGGCGGGAGGGAGACGTGGGGAGTTGTTCAGTAGGTGCGGGCGAGTTTCTGTTTTGCAAGATGAAAATGTCCTGGAGATCTGTTGTGCAATGGTGCGAATATACTTAACACTACTAAACTGTACACTTAAAAATGCATAAGATGGTAAATTTTATGTTGTGTGTTTATTACTACAATTAAAAAAACAACAAAACTGAACTACAAGTTGGAGGTCAAAGGAAAGTGAAGAGACACAGCTTACGTGGCCCAGAAAAGTAAATAATAAAGTAAACTGCAGGGCTCCTGCCGGCTAGTATGGGAGATCAGCTGCCCAGATCCGGGCGGCCCATCGTGCCTCCAGCCTCAGGCTTCTTGGTGGGGTTGGGGTGGAGAGCCTGTGCCTTAGAGTCAGAGCCCTGCTTTGAGTCCCAGCTTCAAGTTCTGGAGCACATGACTTAACCTCACTAAGACTCATTTTGTTTATCTGAGTCAAGTAGGGATAATAACATTACCTCACAAGATCCTCATGGGCGATGACATAAACTCATCACGTAAGGCAGTTACAAGTGTCCAGCACATAGTGAGTGCTCAGTGACAGGCACGGGGAGGTGGAAGCTAGTGGTGGCATGGTCGTTGCATCTAGCACTCGGCCTCAAAAACCCTGATTCCAGGATAGAATGTGTTTCCAAGTCCTTCCGACCCTGACTTCTAGGCCCAGGATTGAGGACCAATTAAATTGTCTTCCATCTCACCCCATCAGCATTCATCTGCCAGCCTTGGGTGAGGCCTCCCAGAGCAGGAGTGAGGCCCGAGCACCTCCACCTCTTAAGGGCCTAGGGATGACCCGAAGGCAAACCAGTGACAATCCCAAGAGGGAGCCAGGCCTGGGCTTCAGTGAGACATAAACCAGGAACCAGCCCAAGCCAAGAGCCATCTGAGAAAGTTGTTTTCTTGCTTTGGAGGGAGGCGTCACTTGCTGTTTCTAGAAGCTTCCCTCCTCGGACGCATTCACATTGCCACTCGACTCTGATATTTGTTTACTGTTCCTTCTCAGTTACTAAACGGCGTAATTATGCCTATGACGTGGTTTTCCTAGGAGGCTCCTCTGATCTCATTTCCTTCTCCAACACCTTTTCCTTCCCTACAGGTAGTGATATAAACCAGCCCAGGGTCCCACACAAGGCAGAGACAGAGCTTGGCCTCCTGATGTTGGTCCTGGACAGGCCTCTTACATAGAATGGGGCTTTTCTGGAATCTGGTCCTGTCTGAAAGTTGGCTGCCTTTTACTCAGCCCAGCCAACTGGCCAAATAGTGACCCCCTGGGAATTAGAATGGCTTCCTTCCTCAAGAAGCTCTGCTGCCACCTGCTGGATAGCTCTTGTAAAGACCACCCAGGTCAAGGACGATGCTCCCTGGAGCAGTGCACAAAGTCAGCAGCAGCCTGGGGTCCGCAAGCGTCGGATACACCAGCCACAGCCTGCCCTTGGCTCTGGCTGACCTGGTAATGGAAGCCCGGGGAGGGGAGAGGAGGGACACTCACCAAAGTAGGCTCGAACTCCAGGGAGATGGCCCCCAAGGCATTTTCCAACTGCTCCTTTCTGGTGATATCCATGATCACCACCTCGGTGGGCTCACTCAACTTTCGAATATCCCACCACATGACCTGATGGGAGGAGCGGGAGACTTTGAGACCTGAGGTCCCTCGATTCTCCCGGCTTTGGCCTCCTTCACCCCCTCCAACTCCCTGGGGCCCCCTACTAGGGCACAGAAAGGTGCGTGACAGAGGCTACCAGCCACCTGCAGGAACAAACATGCTTTGAGAATGACTGCTCTGGTCCACAGCCCCAAACCTGGCTGGTCATCAGAGTCATGGGGAAGTGTCATAAAAGCCAGGTGCCGGAGCCTCACCCCAGACCTCCTGAATCCAAATCACCAGTTGTAGGCCCTGGACTCTGTATTCTCAGAGGCTCCCCGCAAGATGGCGGTGTATAGCAATGTTATAAACGCACATATGCTGTGATCCAGAAATCCCAGAAATGTGTGCTGTGAATGTATGCAATACTCTGCACACACACACACGCTCTTTGCTATATTTTGGGGGTAATAACAAAATATTAAAATTCACTGAAATCAATTATAGCACACCCAATGCGGTCCTTAACAGGCACGGGGCAGTGCTTCATGAAATATGGAATCACCTTCATGTCATGCTACGTGAAAAAAGTCAAGTGCAGAGCAACATGTCAGTGTGCAAAAAGACAGCAGAGAAGACAGATGTGCTTGCTTCGGTGTGCAGACGATCCCAGAAGGCAGATGGAAGAAGGCGGTGTGGGCGGGTGCCTGCGGGGAGGGGTGGGAGGAAGGCACTTCACTGCCTGCCCTCTTGTACCTTTTGGGTTTTGTTCCATGTGCGTGTATTACCTATTTTTCAATTTACAAATAAGATGCAAAAGGAAACATTCCCAGGTGATTCTGATGGGGAACCAGGGAAACACTACTGCTCCTCACCCCCCTCCCACCCCTGCAGCACCTGGCCGGCCGGTACCTGCCCATCCGTGGACGCTGAGAAGCACTCAGTGCCCGTCTTTGACTGCAGCCAGATGGTGCCGTACACGGGGTCTCGGTGGCTGAACTCAATGGTGGACAGCTCTGCCACCAGGCTGCCCTTCCGGGTGTCCCAGCAGGCTGGTGGGGAGGAAGATGAGGGGCAGGTGAATGGGGGCACAGCCTTCATTCGCTGGTGCAGGGAGCAGGGGA